TTTTCTTATTGACAATGAGGAATTTAAAGAGAAGCACGAAAGCATTTGTTGGGGTCAAAGAGGTTTCTACACCTCATCGGCTGGAGGCAGAATACATTTCAGCAGTTAGTCACCGGCAGCACGTGTGGAAAGGGAGGGGACCTTCATGGGAAAGGCAAATGATCCATGTCTAATGCAGTCCCAGAGAGGGGAAGCAGAGAGGAGCCGCTTGGGTAGATGTACAGTCTGCAAAGCCAAGGAAGACCATCTCACAGCATCTCACGTGCACATGTGCAGGGCAAGATCCCTGGAGAAAGATGGGCAAATATGCAGTTGTAAATGAGATAGTGGAAGGGGAGAGAATAGAAAAAGCAGTGCTGTAATGCTGCTTTTGCTGCTGAAAATGTCTTTTCTAAACATAGCCTGTATTAGTTTTTCAATACTGACACATCATGAGGTCTGCTCTTTAAGGAAAAAGTCTTCTGTGAGATGTAATAGCTCATCGCTGCCTAGTGTCTGTCATCTAAAGGGTAAAGCATCTTACATAAACGTGGATTTTATTTTCCGGCATTATAACCACCATTCTGAGGCTGAATTCTATCGATCAGGAAGGTAGAGACCATTACCAAGCACTGCATGTAATAAGGTCTCTTAAAAGCCAGAAAGGGCTGTTTTCCAAATATGTCACTGAGTTGGCTGTCAAAGAGGATTCAATGGAAGAACAAAATTGCAGTCAACAGTGAAACTGCATCTCTCATAGAAATATCTGGTCTGGTTTAAACTTACCCAGAGTAGGCAATAGTGGCAAGAAGCCCAGGCACTGAGGAAACACCGTGATTTAATTTGTAAGATGGGACAGCGGCTGCAATACGTTATTGCCATGTGCTCAAAATGATGCGTAAAAATATCTTTCCTCCAGGTAAAATGAAAAGTGCCTGGGTTGGTAGCAACTGCTCAAATAGCCAAATATCCCTCAGCATGGAGCAAAGAATTGATCTGCTACAGCTCCTTCAGTGAAGAAGTTGCCAAAACCCAGCTGCTGCCCACGTGCATGATCCACCTCAGGTCTGTGACAAGCCACCACCACGTTAGGGAAGGAGGTAGGGCCAGAGACTACCACAAAAGCACTGGTTGCCAATACTGGGAGAAGAGGTGATGGATTTGGGCACCTAGATCTGGGGCTTCTGCTACCACAGCCTGTGTTCAACAGAGCGTCCTCTCCGTGACAGCAGTAGCTCTGCAAACTCAGGCTGGGGAATCCCACCTGAGAGTCTCTGTTCGGCAGAAATCATGTGCACTTTTTGTGAGCAGCCTTTCCTGGTCCCATAAAATATTGCAGTTCCTTGTGATGTCTTCTGCCCTCGTGCCTCTGCCACAGCTTCAATGCAGCCATCCAGAAAGGATTCTACAATGTTCAATCCCCAAAGCAAATCCATGTTTGAGGAGCGTGTGGTTGAGATGCATCAATACTGCTCCGTTAAACCTCATGTCTCACCCGTGAGATGCTGAATTAGGGCCAAACACTGATAGAGTGAAACTCTACAAGAATTCAGTAGCCCCAGTAGGGCTGAGAACACTCACACCAGCAAACCCCCGCTGGCTACAGACACACCAAGCAGGCACTCAGGCTTTGGGCAAAAGAAATGAGGTGTGCCAATGTCACACGGCCATATGAACGCAATAGCAGGGAGAAGCAAAGAGCATAGGGTTGCCATAGGGAAGGTGCTGATGCATCCCCAAGTGGCCTCAAGTTGTGCCAGAGCAGGTTTTAGATTGGACATTAGGAAAAATTTTTTCACCAAAAGGGCTGTCAAGCACTGGAAGGGGCTGCCCTGGGAGGGGGTCGAGTCCCCACCCCTGGGGGGATTTAAAAGCCGGGCAGACGCGGTGCTTAGGGCCAGGGTTTAGTGGTGGGATGGCAGGGGTAGGGGAACGGTTGGGCTTGATGATCTTAAAGGTCTTTTCCAACCTGAACAATTCTATGATTCTATGATCCCCAGCGCTTGTCGGCTCAGCTCTGTGTCACCTTCCCTCCCTGGGAGTTAACTGCCTGCTCTGCCTCCACCTTCCCCCATCGCCACCCTACAGCAAGTCTCTGCTTCTGCCATCTGCCTCACAGGAGGGAGCTGATGTGCATCTAAAATTGATTAGCTGGAGCCCATGAGGGCCCCCAGTGGGACATACCAGCAGGTGCCAGGGGAGGGTTGAATTAATTCTGAGTGATCGGTGGGGACAAGTCCCTCTCCAAAACATGTGGCATCGAGAAAACACTTTCCACGTTTCTCTTTTTAACCAGTGTGTTTCATAGCAACTGTTTTCAGCAGGGGAGGGGAGGGGGGGGTGTGAGCTTGTCACTGGTGCAAATCAGTTATTGCTCTAAATCCAACATAGTGCATGTGCAGAGCACCAGGGAGGAGCCGCTAACCGGAGAGTGCTAGCGGCCAGATCCTCGTGCCCTTGCCCCAACAAGTGCAAGGTGTTACCCAAGCAGACTCACTAAAGGTGACGAGGCTACGGCCAAATCAATATCTCAGGGATGCTGAGGCAGCATGGATGCATGTAATGATGCAACCAATGATGTCCTGGAAAGCTGCAGCTGGACGTGGATGCCTCACATGCTGGGGCAGTGGCCAGGGCTGACATACTTCTTCGGGCAGCTGATTTCTACCTTCAGGTGTTTTGCAGTGGGTTTGGCCCCTTAGCGCCAGAGAGAAATTTCCCTTTTACTTTTTTTTTCTTTTCTAAGGTGACTGTTCCCATTACCTGTGCTGCAGCGAAATCTTCACACCGCAAGTTACTGTGTTGAATTATTCATTTCCTGAAGAAAAAGAATCCTCCTGCCATTTTCCAATCTCTCCCTTTCCAACGCAATCAAATTTGTCCGTGTTTATTAGTGTTTACCCAGTTTCTCCTTCTTATCCTTTTCTTTATTTTAAAAATATATATCCCAGTCTTTCTTTTCCTAACTGAGTATTGACAATTCTTTGCAGACTTGGCTTTCTTCAAACCTATGTCTCAAACTCCTTCAGTTTTTGCAGTGCCTACCAGGCCATGGAGTGCTTACGATTGGACTTTGCTTTCAAGGGCTAATTAACACAGATTCTTTTTTGGGTTTTGTTTGTTTGTTTTATCCTGGAGAATCAGTTTGTTTGAGTCAGAGGTTTCATTTCTTTGGGTTTAGGGAGCCAGGTAATACTAGCAGGCAGCCCCACTGAGATTGATGGGGGCGAACCATGATGCCCAAGTCATCCTCAAGGGGCTGACTTTAGTGCCAAAAATAGCAAAAGAAATTCCCACCCGTTCTTGTTTACTCTCCAGCACAGATCATCTCCATCAGGCTGAACCAAGTGTTTGTTGGCTGCACCATAAACCAGTCACTGAGTTGGTCTCCATTCAAAGTAGAGCCTTTTGGGGGGTGTCTTCTGAACCTGTGCAATGGTTTGCTTCACAGCTCAGCCCCACGAACGCTGGCAGAGCAGAGAGGCTGGTGACTGCTCATCAGGGCATCCACGCTGACACTAAGCCAGCTTCCCACCGGTGTACATCCAAAACCTACCGAGAGTAGCACCATGCTGGTAGGGATCACAGTCCAGCTTCTCAGTTTGTCACTGGTTTGAAGCTGCGCCAGGGCCGGGTTAGGGTAGATATTAGGAAAATTTTTTAGTGGTCGGGTGGCAGGGTTAGGTTAAAGGTTGGACTCAATGATCTCAAAGGTCTTTTCCAACCAAAGCGATTCTATGATTCTATGCTCAGTGGGGTTTCCAAGCTTGGCTGCATCTCCAGGCTCATGCAGTCCAACTGTGTCCAGACCTGAGCTGGCTCTCTCAAGGGTGGATGTTGCTCTCTCCATGCAGGGGATTAACGTGTGTCAAGCACGTCCACCCCAAACAAGTTTGGTAGGGCTTTCGGCTTTTTACCATAGAGCTCATTCCATAAGGGCTTCAGGTGCTGCAAAAAGCAATCCCAAGGATACACACAGACCAAGGTTTAATGGTAATTTGGTGTGTTTATGTGCTGGGTTGACCCTGGCTGGAGGCCAGGTGCCCACCAAAGCCGCTCTATCACTCCCCTCCTCAGCTGGACAGGGAAGAGAAAATACAGCTAAAAGCTCGTGGGTCAAGATAAGGACAGGGGGTTCACTCAGCAATTACCATTACGGGCAAACCAGAATTGACTTGGGGTAATCAGTTTAGTTTATTCCCAATGAAATCACGGTAGCATAATGAGAAATAAGAACTAAATATTATATCATCTTCCACCCACCCTTCCCTTCTTCCCAGGCTTAACTTTACTCCCAATTTTCTGCGCCTCCTCCCCTCCAGCAGCACAGGGGGACAGGGAATGGGGGTTGGGGTCAGTCCATCCCATGCTGTCCCTGCCGCTCCTTCCTCCTCAGGGCAGGACTCCTCACACCCCTCCCTGCTCTAGCACGGGGTCCCTCCCACGGCAGACAGTCCCCCACGCACTGCTCCAGCCTGGGTCCTTCCCACGGGCTGCAGTTCTTCACACACTGCCCCAGCGTGGGTCCCTCCCTCCCACGGGGTGCAGTCCCTCAGGAGCAGATGGCTCCAGCGTGGGTCCCCATGGGGTCACCAGCCCGGCCAGCAAACCTGCCCCAGCCTGGGCCCCTCTCCCCACGGGGTCACACGCCGTGCCAGG